CTGGGTTTTTTCTTCTCTCTTTTTTCTTTGCATGGTTCTTGGACTCTCCTTTGTAACATTTGGTTCTCTCCTGTTAGTACAATATGTAATGAGATGATTGTGGCCGCCCGGACAGTGCATTAGTGCTTGTTGTGCTGTAATACTACCATGGCATCTGGTTTATTGTAATACTAACCATACAAGCACACACACACACACACACACACACACACACACACACACACACACACACACACTATAGTTTCTCAGTTTTACACCTACTTAACACCAATAGCATTTTGTTACTCTATTCTTTAATTACTTACTTAATAATTCTCAACTTTAACTTGTAATTTAATTACATTAAAAATTTCTAATTCACATTTAACTTATTATACTTTTACTTACCATTATGCTAAGAAACAGTGTCCACTGTGTAAACTCAAACACTAGACAATGTGGCTGCATATGTCATTAACTTTTTATTCTTACTTTGGATTTTCTGGTGGAGTGGAGCTTGTAATAATGAGACGCAGTAGCTTTGACAAACTAAAAATGTGAAATTGTATCATTTCAAACTTTCTCTCTCATCTACTTCTGAGTAGGATCATTTCTACCCTTACTCCCTAATTCCATCCCCAAAAGCTAATCATGCAATAGCAAAAGACAGAAACAACATTAACATGACTTCTGCCATCAAGGGAATACCAAGATGTATAAGCAATTTGGCAGGGATAGCCATATTAAAAGGAGCAAAACTGGGGACCTATGAAAAGTGAAATAACCAAAATTTTGAGTTACTGGATTTTGTACTAATCACCAGCATCATTAAACCAAAAATAATGGTCACAGAAGCCACGCCTCCATAGTGTTTCATTTATAACCAGAACAAATATATAAATATGTGCGCTATCAACCACAAGAATTCATTCACAATCAGGAGCCCAAGCTAAAAATATAAATGGATTACCATATATTATTACTATAATGAATAGTATACTGGATTGGATACCACAATGCTGAAAGGAAGATCCCAGATTACAACATGGACACACTGGGAGTTCATTGTCTGCAAAGGACATTATTAAACTACATTATATTTTGTTTCTTTAGAAAATGCTCATTGCTAAATTAATTATCAACTTGGAAAGAGCTAACTGCAAGATTTAAGCATCAAGATTTAGCTAAAGTCATGAAACTGTGACGAAGACAATCATCTACCTATTTCCCTATGGATGAAAATGCAGGTTTCTTATATCATGGCCTTTGAGTAAAAAAGGACTGATATACGGTTTTATCCATCATCTACCATATATCTGTTTTCTTTCACTCTTTTTTTCATTCCGTGATTCCTCTCATGCTTTCTTCCATCTGCTCCTACCTGTCCTTGTTCTTATCCTCATTTCCTCATCCTCTTTCGTCTGCTTTTTCAAGGTATTATACAAGTTTGGTGGCGAAAGATGTGTCTCAATTTGCAGATAGCAGTACCAAGCAGTTCTAATTTAAGGATTATGGTGATTGGAGAGTAATATTATTACATGAGAAAAGTAAAAGGTAAAAGTAAAGCACAAATGAGAAGACTGAAAGAGTAGAAGACAGAAAGAGTAAAAGAAAAGAGGACATCAGGCACATTGAGAAAGGAAGCTGATCAGCATGCAATCACTGATGAGAGAGGTAAAGGTAAACGCAAAATATCAGGAAATGGTTCGTAGAAAGAAAGGGGAGAGACATGCTTGCCACTTGGTAGTCATTACAGAGAAGCTTTCTCCATTCAGGAGCTCGGTGTGCAGCTGTCGCTTCAGGGAACTGATCACATACACCCTGAGTCACAGAGACAAACACACACATATATACAAACACACACACATGATTTCTATTACACACATGCACACATGCCTTGGGCTGTGCTTTGAACTGATCCTTGCCACTAGAGAGAGACACTCAGAGAGCTGGCTGATAATAATATTATCCTATGGCCTTCATATGGTAATATGGTTTTATTGCTATGAAGAAATATGAATATTATGGCTTTCACAGGCAGCTTAGGGAATTACATGGCTGTCATGGTTCTCAGCTTCAATAGAATGTTTAGATTCTCTATTTATCTAAGGTCTCTGGGTGGGAAATCTATTAAGTTTTGCTCTGATATCTGCTGGCATGTTGTATATACCTACAAGTATGGATAAAGACAAAGTGCAAGACATGCCTCTCCACCAAGTAAAGGTCACAGTTTAGCACACAGACTAACACACTTCTAGACAAAAAAAAATGAATGAGGCTGTGTCATGATACAGCTGAATAAACTCAGATACAGGATCATTTATCCCAACATATTTGCTGATAAAGAGCAAATAAACCTGGTTTGTGCAATAAAATAATTATACTTTTAAACTATGTGTAAATTTGCCTCTTTTTTTCCTCAAGTCCCATTTTGGTGGTCTAATTATCCAAATAAGGGCTTGCATTTATAAAATTGCATTAATTCAGGTATAGCCTCTTGCCTTACATCATATTTTAAATGTATGGGGTGTTCCATAGTATCTGCTTAATTACTTTTGCATTAGGAAACAATTCATGTAGGATAATTTGGAGAATATAAAGTGAATGTACTTTTTCATGGCAATTTTGAGAGTAAAGAACATGCTCTTATTTAAAGTGTCACACACATACAGCAGGGACTTGAGCCTATTACACATCTTGTATATGTCACCAGTCTGTCGTACAGTAGGGCTACCACCAAGTCATCCTTTACTATTTATTTATTTAATGTTATTTAGGTTTTTATAATTACACCTGTTTAACTTCTGGTAAGCGTGTCCCTTCTCAATCAATGAGTTTTTCCTAGCTAGCTTGCTAAAGGAGTAATCAGTAACAGAAACTTTATCTGTTAACATGAGTGCTTGTTTACTTGTCAATACTAGCTCTGTTTTCCACAATGTCCACCTCAAAACTGATCCCAGAGCAGTAAAAGCAGTGCCAGGTGCAGCTTGTATTGCATGCTAGTCTCCCATTGGTGTCTAATTAAAGAACACAGGTTTATCCACAATGCACGCACAAAGTAGAAGCTAATGGCTTCTGAGCCTTATAAGCTCAAACTTTTTTCAACAGGCTATGGACGTGCCCATCAAACTGACAGATACTACTGATTTCAGTGGAATCGTAGTCAAGCAGAGTCAAGCCTGCTTCTGAAGACAAAAGTCAATTATGGCCAGGAATTTAAAGGATGGGTGCAAACAGCACATTATGGTGTTTGAGATGTAAGAAGAAAGATCACTGAGAAAAGCGAAACCTGTTTTGTAATAGGTAAAAATAGCCAAAAGTATGGATATCACATGGTTTAAGGACACATTCATTAGAGTGTGTCATAAAAGTAATTAGGCAGATAAGAAGTAAGTTGTCTGACTCTATGTCTCGTACAACCAGCAAGTCAAAAGAAAGAACTGAATCTGCATACTTTGTCCCTATAGGCTTTGATGTTAAACAATGACTCAATAAAAATTAATCATCATAGGACTACTGCATTCACACAAAATTGCTTACTCTTTTATATGGTATAAACATTTCTTATTCAGTGTATAAAATCTAAATTAGCTGACCGTGCAAAACTAAAAAAATTATGTAGAGCAATTTGTTATACAAAAAGGTAAATGGCCTTGCAAGAGCGTTATCTTCCTAACGAAAATAAACGAAACATTTAAAAAATGTACAAGAAATATGCAGATGTGATGTGTTTTAAGTGTTCCTATATTTTTTTTAAATGCTGTCTATTTGAACAATATATAGAATGGATAATCATAGGTCTATAATTACTTGTTTATAGCTTTTCCTGTATAGCTTGTCATGTTCGTCTTGATAACTTCTGGTTTGTCCCTAGTGATCCAAAGGACAAAACCATTCCATAAAATCCACAGTAATTGTGCTTTGGTAACAATCCCAGACAGTTTAAAAAAATCTCCTGGCTTGGTTTCTGACAAAAAAAACAAGACATCCTCAAATAAAGGAAAACATAACAGTAACTATACCAATATTATGTTAAAAAAACAAAAAACAAAAACCCAAACCCAGACATACATAGATCTCTCTCAGGGACTTCAAAAGTATCTTTTTAAAAGACAACTCTCTGTTCTTTGTGAATTTCAACTGACAAACAGGAATCTGATGGATGCAACTGAATGACTACTGACCTGTGCTCAGAGTATGTTTTTAATCATTGCTACTAAAAACAAAAACTAATAAATAAACACTGAGGTTATGCTTCTGTTAAGCACAAACACCCTAGTAAAAGACAGTATATAATGTAAAAATATAATGGAATTTTAGATAAAGGCAGACATGTGGCAGCTAATCATCTGCAAATGTTCTACAATGATAACTTATTTATCTCTCATCCATCCATCTATAGTCCTTCTATCCTGTATCAGGGCCAGCAAGGGCAGTCTCCCTGCTTGGCATAGCTGTCTGACTGCCTAAAGCAGTGTGCCTAATATGTCTGCAATACAGGCAGAGAAAAATGGAGTAAAAAAAACACTGCTCTTATCACACACACACACACACACACACACACACACACACACAAATTACTTTACTTTCACATGTGAATTTGTGCACTCAAGGGCACATGCCTTGTTTTCCCATTCACTATGCATAAGAAAACCAAGGCTTGCAGCATGTCTCACTTACTGCTGAACTTGAAAGTATGAGGAAAAGAAACCATAAAACAGCTGAAGTTTATTTTGCAAACCTAACAAAAATGGATGTATATGTGTGTGTGTGAGCGTGTTCTAATGATATCAATTAGAGCTTAATGTAATATCCTATACTTACCCAATTTCCCAGAGGATCATTAAAGTTTTATTAAAGTTAATTGGCAATAACTGTTTATGTATGTTTCAGGTGTAATTAAAGCAAAACAACAGTGTCACAGCTCCCAAATGAGCCGCTTTTGCAACCTCAGTTAGCACACTTTAAAACTCTACAGTACAACAAATACCAGTTAAAGCTGTAGCTAAAGCCATGCCTACCTCTATCTGGTGTTCTGTGTTTTAAGACTCAACATGAAGATAAACTGAGGTGGCAGGTAGATGGACAGAAAAGCAAGACAGAACAGCAAGCTGGATCCACAGACCTGTTGAAAAGAATAAAAAAAAAGACAATATTAGAGTTCAAATGTTTATAGCGATATCCCCAAAGTTGACATTGGTGACAATTTAAAGCCTTTATGAAACATCTAGTTCATAGAATTGTAGCTGAGTAAGTTACTGAGAAGTATGAATGAATAATTGCTAATTATAATCTGCAATTACTACGTGATTACACTTTAGGATGCCAGTGGGGCAAATTGACAAACACAATGGCGATTGGCCATCAGTTGTTGGTTTCACTGGGGTAATTGTTGGCATCAGTTTTGTTGTTCTATTTTGGCTAATTTAGTAGCCGCATACACTGACACTGAACTGTGTCTGAGGTAAAGGGCTATTCAGGAGCCAGTAAGGGGATGTGCTGCACGCAAACCTTTGTGAACATCAGCAATCACAACACATCCCCAAATCCAGAGTAAAACTTAGCATGGAAATGTTTGCATGAATATGTTTTCACGTATTATAGTAATCCATCAAATAGTTTTTCACAAGCTTTATATGTGAGATATTAAACACTGATACAACATCAAAAACATATTTGAAATTTGCAATGTATGCATGAGTGAATCAACTGCGCCTTTTTTTTATCTCAGTGTTTAGAGTCTCTGCTGCTGTCTTTAAAGAGATCATCTCTTCTCTGTCTCCTACTTTTGTGTCTTCTCTGCTTCACACCATGTGTCTAACTGAGAAGCGGGTGCTATTCTCCATTTAATTTACCTGTATTTAGAATGTTATACACTATATATGATTTTTTTTAAAAGCTCATAGTGATGTCACAATAGCTCAGTAATGTCTATTAGAAATAAGCAGGACAAAAAAGAAATCCAGTACAGGGATGGGATAGATGTCAGCAGTGTGTCTGTTTGTTCTGTAGTCCAGTGATTCTGAATGTTGTATAAAGCACCTTTAAGAAATGTCATATCAATACTACAAATGTCATTCTCAAGTAGCAGTGCAGGAAACAGCTGTGGATGATCCAAGTCAGTAGGGTTAAACCTTAATGGATCATGAATGGGAATCTATTAAATACTTGCATGTATTTAATTGATACTACTGTATAGACTAACACACTCTATGAACTGGAGAGCTAAAAAGTAGAAAACTAGTTTCCTTTTCAGGAAGCTCTACTATATTTTACTTGGATATCAGTATTTTCTTCATGCTATAGAGGGAGGCAGTTCAAATATTTTCTAAAGCTTCCTGTGACAGTAGTTAAAGACAATCCATTTGCCATTATAGAAAATATTGATTACCTTTTGCATGTGTCAGTTTTTAGTACAAATGAGAAAAACCATGGTGGGAAGCTTAACTGTCTAAACCTACCACCATCTAATGCGGGTATGTGAAATATAAAACCTCCCACGGCTTTACTTTGACTACTCTGTAAACCTATTATATACTTTAACAAGCATCTTCAGTCACACTGTGTCTCAGCCATTATAAGTTAAATATACAGTAAATTCTTTCATGTCATAAGAGGGAGGACTTCTTTCATTGCTACCCTATATTTTTTTCCACTTATCTCAAAGTTAATCTATACCAAAAGCTTTCTAAAACACGACATCAAGTTACCAATTACATCCATGACGAACACAAGCCTAGAAGTCAGGGCGTGATGTGAATGTTCAATGCTTTAACTAAAAATACTTTTGGCATAATAAAATGTGGGCAGCGATGCAGAAATTATGTCACTTTTTAACAATTCGTCCAACATTGATCAAAGTGTTATCAAATTGAAAATGACAGTGCATACTTCTGTGTTTTGGTAGAGTACACAAACACACAGACGCACACATCAAACAGGACGGATACACTTTGGCAGTCAGTTCCCAAGCCAGCTGAGCTAACAAGCTGCAGGTTATTAGAAAATCATTACTCACATCACAGGCCCAAAGGCGTCTCATCACTAAGACATGGAACAGCAATGTGACACAACGGTGGGACAACTGATCATTTTGTAGACACTCAACCTGACTTTCTTCAGATGGAAGAATGCAGACCAAAAAGCTAAAATACCATACTAAGCTTTTTCTTGATTTGAAACATCATGTCAAAGAGCAACGACAGCATAGAAGTTTTTTCTGTATGCACAACATGACTAACACGTCAGTGTTGCAGTTTACCTGACAGCACACAAGCACACACAACAAAGGCTGTTTGACAGTTAAAGTATTAATTATGTAATTTCATGAACACCCCCCCCACACACACACATTCTTGTTTACCTCACTTAGTGAGGACATCTAATTGACATAATTCTTTCCCTGGCTGCTTACCCAAAACCTAATCATAACCTAATTGTAACCCTGATATTAAAACCACATTCTGAGCCTCAAAAATGCCTTCAAATTCGTGAGGACCTTGTGTGTCCTCACAAGTGACTGTTGGTCCCCACAAGTATAGTAGAATACCAATTTCTGGTCCTCACAAAGCCGTCTAAACAGGAATACACACACAAACACCTTTTGGATTGCCTCCTTTTATTTATGTGGCCTTTTAAGCTAAACATGTTTTGTTTTTCTTTGCTTTCTTTAAAAAAAACTGTATTCTACTATCAAAACAATCAAAACAATAATACACAAGGGGATACTTTGCATTATGATAGCCCTTACATCTGGTGCTACTTGCTTAAATGAGGTAGAGAAAACTATAGCAAGCTTTAGCTGAGCAGCTTTTCAAAAACAGTGTAGTTCATTTGAAAGTAGACAATTTTAATAGGCAAAAAAGGAAAAAAAAATCCTACCAGAAAATGCGTTAACTCTGGTGAGTCTTAGGGGAGGTAAAAATAATCCTCAATCTTAAAGTAATAATTTCCCAGCGTGTATTTATAATTAGTAATGTGGAATTACTTAATTCATCTTATCAATTTAATTATAAATAGAGCCCATTGAATTACAGAATTCTGCTATTCAGTTGTTTAATTTGCTCCTTTTTTATGAGGTGTAGCTCTTACTTCCTTGCACGCAGTACTGTGCAAACTCACAGCAGTCTCTTGACATCAACAACTAATGAAGGGCTCGGGAATTCTGGAATCCAGATTTCCCAGAATCTTGTCAAATAATCACTCATCCCTTAATTTTCCCATAATGTAGTGGTTGCTTTTCAAATAAACAGGAACGTGTTGGCTGGATCTATTGTGTTTCATTTCATGCCGTCATTTAGATTCTCTGACCTTTCAAAGGGCAGTGTTTATTTTGCTCATCATAACTCAACAGCATGTGCAATTGTGCTCATGTACAAATGCCTAGCGTAAACAAAGAATGATGAAACAAACACATAGAAAATGGAGGAGAACAGAAAACAATAAATGAAGGTCACAACACTAACTGAATGAATAAATTCAACCTGATCCTATAGCACTGTATAATATGTTCCTTCCCGAGTTGTCTTAGATTTAGGGTAATTACTGTTATTAATTACTATAATTCTGAGTATATTATTATAAGGTTAAAAAATATCCAACTTTGAAATAGATAATACAGGAAATAAATGATGATGCCTACCAACAACAAGATCTATTATTTGAAATGTAAAAGACCCACATGAGTCACGTGTTTCACTATAAGTCAGTGTTAACATGGATACATTGCATTTTAAATTACATTCTAAAAAGCTTGACACATTTTCCACATCGGATTTGGAAATATACTCCTCCCTTTGTTTATTAGAAATTGTTTATTATCCGTATACACCTTTACATGTAAAACAAGGCAGTTTTTAAGATAAACCTATTTCAGACTTACCATTAATAATTTTTCGGTCTCATGCTTTGCACCTGCCTTATTGTTTTATCTGAATCACTGCTCGGCTGTTTTGTAGGATCTTGAGAGCCATTGATATTCTGCTTAGTTTTCCTCTATATTTAGCATCTGCACTCTGCACTAGATACATTAGATGGTGGTAAAATGACCTGTCATTGAGTTGGAGTGCATATATATGCGTGCGGTTTTGGGTGTGTAGGATCATGACTGAGACAGGGAAGAAGCAAAGTGTGTGTATAAAGTAGAACGTATAAAAATGAGCATCTTTGAGGTGTTCATGTGTTTGTGCCTGGATATGTGATGGCTACCACACAGGTAGCCACAGCTCTCCATCAAAAGGGTCAGATCTTAATACTCTTATTCTAATAGGAAATGGAAGCCATTTTAACAGAGACACGCATAGCTCTAACTACCTACATCCGGTTTCCATACCTCTGATGACCCAACTCATCTGATCAGCCCTGTTAATTAAGTTTAGCCACCAGCCACACCCATTAACAGCAGCTCTCCTTGATTGATCCTTGCACTTGGTAAAATGCCAATTTTGCATAAAATTATGTTATTGGCCAGGATAATAGACCTCGGGGATCTGTTAATTCTATGGCCTAGAGCAACCTATTAGAATCATTAAAACAATAATACTCACGTACAAGCTTCAAGCTTTACTGTTTACTGTTGAAGACTAAAAAAAGGGAATACCTGTATTAAATACAGTTTGGATATTTTAGTAAGTGATTTTGGCAGGTGCAAAGTAAACTGGTCAATTATATAATATAATGAATCACAGAGTCCAATTGCATAAAATCACTTGTTTATTTTTAACCAACCTCTAAATTTGAGCCAGTTGATACTACCAGTATACGTCTTTAAAGTTCACAAAAAGATATAACAACTTATGCTCAAGTTTCAATATTTACTCTGTATATTTTATTTACTCAAAAAGAGAATGTTGGCTTCCTCAAAGTTCAGAGTCTAACACGGCAAACTGAGCAGAGTGGAAACAGTAGGAATAGTTAGCTAAATAGTTAGCTAAAATCTCAGATTACAGGTAATGGTTAACCCTCCCGCATTCCATGCAAATCATTATAACTCCTTCATCAGATGTAATGAGACAGGAAACGACTAATGACAGAAGTCTTCCAATACAGTTTTTCCATAT